CCGAGGTGGGAGGATCACCTGTGGTCAGGAGTTTGAGATAAGGCTGGCCAACATGGTGAAATCCCATCTCTACCAAAAATACAAAAAATTAGCCAAGCATGGTGGTGGGCTCCTGTAATCCCAGCTACTGGGGAGGCTGAGGCAGGAGAATTGCTTGAACCCCAGAGGCGGAGGTTGCAGTGAGCCAAGACTGTGCCACTGCACTCCAGCATGGGCAAAAAGAGCAAAACTCCATCTTAAAAAAAAAGAAAAACACAACAACAAAAATAAAACCAAGCCTTGCTCTACCTTCCCAACAGATGCCCATATGCAACAGGAAGAGTCAGAGAGGCATATATAAAAAGACAGGAGGGGGACAGTGATGGCAGTGACAAAGGTGCACTTGCTCTGGGCATGGGATACCCAGAAGGCTCTCAACTCTTCCAGCTTTACTGCCACCCTCAGACTCAATAGGCTGTAAGAAAACAAGTGGTGTCAGCAGCTCCCTCTGCCTGGACCTTGTCTCCCAGGAGGGCGCCGCAGCCATGTGGCTCCTTCCTGTCTCTTCCCTCCACCTGATTCAGACAGAAGCCTCCCACAGAGGGGCTGACCTGCTTCTGTCTTCTCCTTGGCACTTATCGCTGACTTGTCCCCCGTCTGGATGCCAACGAGAATCAACAATCCATGATGGGAGCACATGAGCAGCACGTGAGGTACAAGGATGGGAACCTGGCCACCCCAGGCAATCAGATGCTGGGTTCCAGGAAGGAACTTGGAGATGGATAAAAATCACAAAGACAGGTAAAACCAGGGTCATGGCAAAAGCTCTCAACCTGGTCACAGAACCTTGCTGCACACAGTGGGCTGAAGAGTGCCCCTCCCAAAGATATGTCCACTCAGACCTGTAGTCCAAGATACTTGAGGGGCTGAGGCAGGAAGATCACTTGAGCCAGGAGTTCAAGTCCAGCGGGGCAACATAGTGAGACCTTGTCCCTTAAAAAAAAAATGTCCATTTGAAAGGTGTGAATGTAAACTTATTTGGAAAAAGGGTATTTGTAGTGAAGGATCTTGAGATGAGACCATTCTGGCTCAGGATCAGAGCTAAATACATAAGACAAAACAAGACACAGAAGAGAAGACACAGATGCAGGGAAGAAGGCCATGGGAGGACGGGGCAGAAGCTGGAGCGAGGCATTCACAGACGAGCCTTTAACAATGCAAGGGTGCGGGGGCGCCAACCACCTTGCAATCGAAAATCTCACGTCACTTTTTTTTTTTTTTTGAGACCAGGTCTTGCTCTGTTGCCCAGGCTGGAGTACAGTGGTGCGATCATAGCTCACTGAAGCCTTGACTGCCCAGGCTCTGGCAACTTCCCACCTCAGTCTCCTGAGTAGCTGGCACTCACACTACCACACCCGGTCAATTTTTTTTGTTCTTTAAGAGATGGGTCTCAATATGTGGGCCAGGCTGGTCTCACACTTCTGGGTTCAAGTGGTCCTCCCACCTTGGCCCCCTCAAAGTACTCAGATTACAGATGTGAGCCACCGTGCTCAGCATTTATATAACTTTTGACTTCCCCACAACGTAACTACTAACAGCCTGCTGTCAACAAGAACAGTTACCAATAACATAAGCAGTTGACTGACATATTTTGTAAGTTCTGTGTATTATATACTGTTTTCTCACAATAAAATCACCTAGAGAAAGGAAAATGTTATTAAGAAAATCATAAGGAAGAGAAAATATGTTCACTATTTGTTAAGTGGAAGTGGATCATTATTGAGGTCTTCATCCTCATCATCCTCACACTGAACAGGCACAGAAGGAGGAGGAGTTGATCTTGGTGTCTCAGGTGTGGCAGAGGCAGGAGAGGTGATACGGTTTGACTCTGTGCAGTCTGAACCCCTGCAGTTCAGACTCGTGTGGTTCAAGCTCAAGTGCACAAGCCAAGGAACACCAAAGACTGCCAGCACCACCTCAGGCTGGAAGAGGCAAGGGGCAGGCTCTCCCTCAGAGTCTCCAGAAGGCACCAACCTGGACAGCACCTGGATTTCAGACTTCTGTTTTCCAGAACTGTGAGACAATAAATGTCTGTATTGGAAGCCCCTCAGTGTGTGGTAATTTGTTCCAGCAGCCACAGGAAATCAACAGGCCATGTCTGCCCCAGGTTCTAGCCGTGTGTGGGAGGCAGACAGGGCAGTGGGTGCCTGACTCCACTCAGAAGGGAACCTCTTGGAGGTTGCCCTGGTCCTCCCATAAGACACAGGCAGGAGACAGCCTGGCCAAGGATATTATGTCCTGAGATGGAGCCACTCAGCCGTCGTGGTGCATGTTAAGCCCAGCAAGGATTTCTTTTCTTTTTGTAGCCCTGTGTATTCAGTTCTGTAGAGTCTTCCTTTTCACTGCAAAAGGCCCTTGTCCTGTCTCCCAATTTCTGAAGTGACAGCCACAGATTGAACAGCTGTCCTAGGTTTCATTTTTACCATCAAGCACCTCACGTGGGAAATCCGATCTAGCAAGGGGATATGGTCTGGCTCTGTGTCCCCACCCAAATCTCACACTGAATTGACATCTCCAGTGTTGGAGGTGGGGCCTGAGGGGAGGCAATCGCATCAGGGGGCTGGTTTCTAATGGTTTAGCAGCATCCCCCAGTGCTGTTTTGTGATGGAGATCTCACGAGGTCTGGCTGTTGAGTGTGCAGCACCTCCTCCTCTGCTCTCTCGTCCTCCTTCTCCCGCCATGCATTATGTGCCTGCTTCCCGTTCACCTCCACCATGACTGTAAGTTTCCTGAGGCCTCTCCAGCCATGCCTCCTGTCCAGCCTGCAGTAATGTGAGTCAACAAAACGTCTTTTCCTTAAAAATGACCCAGTCTTAGGTAGTTCTTTACAGCAGTGGGAGAACGGACTAATAGGCCAGGTGAAGTCAATAAGCAAGCTTTGGCTGGACTGAGAGGCAGGATCTCAAACTCTGCTCTAGTTTTCTTGCTGTGGAGCAGCAACTTACCTGCCATGTTCGAACTTGAACTCGGTTTGGCTCCACCGTATAAACGCTTTCTTCATGCACTGCTAACACGGGTGTCTCACACAGGAAGGTCCCTAAAATGAAAGACGAACATCAGGATGGCGGCAGCTCATCGGTCAGATTCGGCGCGAATTTCTGGAGCATTCCCACACACGATTCCTAATTCATCTTGGCATCATCACAGCTTCACAGGGGTGCATTACTGCACCTCGCAGATGAAGGAAATAAGGAAATGAGGCTCTGAGGCACAGGGAACTGTCCACAGCCGTGGCTAGCAGTGGCAGCGTATGCAGGGCCTGGGCCTGGCGTGGAGACTCAGTGCCCGGCTCTGGGCTCCCTGCCCTGCACCACTCCCATGTGGCAGCTAGTGCTCCCAGCAGCACAGCATCTATGGCAGCACACCCATTTAAGCAAGTGTTTGCTCATTTTAGGTGGAATTAGCCTGGTGTTGTGGTGCATGCCTATAATCCCAGTTACTTGGGAGGCTGAGGTATGAGAATCGCTTGGGCCTGGGAGGCAGAGGCTGCAGCGAGCCACGATCATGTCACTGCACTCCAGCCTGGGTGACAGCAAGACTCCATCTCAAAAAAAATCTAGTTAGGGAGATGATGATATACATAAAACAGAAAAATCTCAGCACCTGCTGTGTCGGTTCTACTGGGGGAAATAAGTTCACCCTTGCTCCTAGGGAGTCTACAGAGGAGGGGAGATGTGAAGTATTGCTACAATCAGGGACTGTGAAAAATGTCATGAGAGAACTTTAGGCAACAAAGTGTTAGGGGAGAAAGCAAAGCCGTGTGGAAAGATCTGGGGGAGAGGCAGTAACCAGTGAAGGACATGCCTGGAGAGGCGGGGGTGTTCAAACTAGGTGACACGAGGCCTCCTGTGTGGGCAGGTGGCCGGGGTCAGTGTGGGTGAAGGTGAGCTGTGGAATGCGGGGAGCTGGGGAGCACATCTTCATGGCTGCGCTATTGCAAGAGGCTGGGAAACGTTCCCTGAAGATATCAGATCCTGATCCCCGGCACCTGTGAATATTACTTTATACGGCACAAGATGTTACGGTCTTGGGATGGGGAGATTATACTGGATTATCCAGGTAGGCCCTAAATACAGCCATGAGTGTCCCTGCAAGAGGGAGAGAGGCAGACTTCAGACCAGCAGCAATGTGACCACAGAGGCAGAGACTGGAGTTTTGTGACCATAAGCCGAAGACCGTTGGCAGCCAACAAAAGCTGAAACAGTCTCCCCTGGGTCTCCAGAGGAAGCCTGGCCCTGCTGATGCCTTCACTTCTACCCATCGAAACTGATTGTGGACCTCTGGTCTCTGGAATTGTGGGAGAATACATTTCTGACATCTCTGTCGTCTGATGCCACCGAGTTTGTGGTCCATTGCTACAGATGTCCCAGGAAACTCCCAGAGATGTGCTGAAGAGAGCAGGAAGAAAACGGTGCCCAAGGCCGGGTGCGGTGGCTCATGCCTGTCATCCCAGTACTTTGGGAGGCTGAGGCAGGCAGATCACCTGAGGTCAGGAGTTCAAGACCAGCCTGGTCAACATGGTGAAACCCTGTCTCTACCAAAAATACAAAAATTAGCTGGGCATGGTGGTAGGCACCTGTAATCCCAGCTACTGGGGAGGGTGAGGCAGGAGAATTGCTGAACCTGGGAGGCGGATGTTGTAGTGAGCCGACGTGGCACCACCACACTCCAGCCTGGGTGACATGGCGAGACTCCGTCTCAAAAAACAAACAAACAAAAAAACACAGTAGCTAAACTAACCACAGAGAGCTGGAGAGAACTTGGGGACCTGGCAGAGTGTTTGAGATTAATGGAGCATCTCTGAAGAGCCACCCTGAAGTTTCAGACAGAAGCTAGCCTTGGGTCAAGACACCACAGGTGTTACTGCTGTGCATGGTCTGGAAACATTTCAGAAGATGGGCAGTAGCCACCCCCTCCCTGGAAGGAACCCACCGCCTCCCAGGAAGGCACCCCACAAAAGCACTGTGGTTGTTCACACCCACACAGCAGGCCCCAGGATTCACTGGCAGCCCTGGCTTTGGAAATGCCGGCACAGGCACGAGGGTCTCCCAGCCCCTGTGCCGGCCCTCAACTGCACCACAGTGGCCCTCTCACTAGGCAGGGAGAAAATAAAGCCAGGTACTGGGAGTGCCTCTGTCGGGGTGAAAAGAACCCACCTGCACTCCGTATTGTGGCTCCGGAAAGCTCGAATATCGCCACCTCCCTTCCATTCCAGACTGCGACAGCATTCTGAAAAGAAGCGTGGACGTTCAAGCAAAGGGCAGGAAAAGTGAGATCCGGACTGCACCCCCCCCACTGCACACTTGCAAACCCTCCTCCTCCTCTAAACACTTCCAAACACTGCCAGTCCAGCACCCTTAAGACTATGAGATCACTGGGTCCTCCGTGGACACAGGTTAAGGCTGTTTTCCATGTTAAGTAAGATATCCCTGGGTTTTATTATGATTATTTTCTAACTTTGGGGAATGGCAAAGCATCCCTCTCTTTCCTTTATTTACTTTTTAAATTAACTTTTTTTTCCAAACAGAATTTTGCTCTTGCTGCCCAGGCTAGAGTGCATGGTGCAATCCTGGCTCACTGCAGCCTTCGCCTCCCGGGTTCAAGCGATTCTCCTGCCTCAAACTCCTGAGTAGCTGGAATTACAGGCACCCACCACCACTTCTAGCTCTTTTTGTATTTTTAGTAGAGACGAGGTTTCATCATGTTAGCCAGGCTGGTCTCAAATTCCTGACCTCAGGTGATCTACCTGCCTCAGCCTCACAAAGAGCAGGGATCACAACAGGCGTGAGCCACCATGGCCAGCCTAAATTTACTTTTTAACTTAAACATTTTTTAATTTATAAGGGTACATGGCAGGTGTATATATTTTTATTACTGTTTTCTTTTTTTTTTGAGTCAGGGTCTCACTCTGTCATCCAGGCTGGAGAGCAGTGGCATGATCTTGGCTCACTGCAACCTCCGCCTCCTAGGTTCAAGTGATTCTCATGCCTCAGCCTTCCAAGTAGGAAAGCTGCACCCCCATGCATGGCTAATTTTTGTATTTTTAGTAGAGACAGAGTTTCACCATGTTGGCCAAGCTGATCTCAAACTCCTGACCTCAAGTGATCCGCCCACCTCAGCCTCCCAAAGTGCAGGGATTAGAGGTGTGAGTCACCATGCCCAGCCTATATTTTTATTACTATTTTCTTTATGAATATGATGTCCAGGAAATAAGATAATTAAGGATGGAACTGAGAGTGCCTAACCTGCTGTCTGGGGCCCTTGCTGCCCTGAACTACCTGACAATGGGGCAATTGTTTTGTCTGTGTTGAAGACCTCTCTTCCAGCCCCGGGTCCCCTTGGCAGTCACCTTGGTGGCAAACACCCCGCTGATGTGCATGTCCGTGCGCAGGCTGTGTGCCGCCCCCGTGGACAGGAAGCATACATTCAGCAGGCTCGGGGAGACCTGCACAGCGGCCACCTGCTGGTGGAAGTGTGATGACATGGCCTGCTCGCTGAGGATGGCCACGGAGATGACGTTGTTCACCGCCAGCAGGTTCTTCCTGGAGCCCCACTTCATTTCCAGGTTGCAAGAGAAAGAACCAAATGCGTGAACAGAGCAAGAGAAAGATGCAGTCAGGGGAATGCTTACACACACGAGAACCCAGAAACCATTTTCCAAGCACCATTGTTTCAGCCTTAAAAATGATTTCAATAAATGTTTTATAAAGGTCAAGTGTGTGCTTTGTAGAAAGACTTCAAAATACTGATGCTCAACAGTTGTGACTGGACAGGCAGCACTTATAAATCTGCTCTGATGGGAAGAACATCTTCTAGAGATTTTCTGAGTGTAACACACTTTTCCGAGCGTGACATAGGGATGTTTACGTTTTTTTATAAATGGACAGGAAATTTATACAATAGATTAAATTATCCAGCTTTTGTTCGCTGATGTGAAATGTCAGTTTCATAATTTTATATTAAACTTCCAAATCTATCTAAAATAAATAAAAAGCCATGCAAAACAGGAAAGTATAAACTGCATATAGGAAAAAAAACTCCAGACATCAGAAGCTGCTATGAAAGGGCCCAGATGTTGGACTTAGCAAGGACTTCAAAGTAGCCGCTATGAATCTGCTGAAAGAACTAAAGGAAACCATGCCTAGTGAAGCAGAGGAAGGTACAATGCCAGTGTCCCGTCAGGTAGAGAATAGGAACAGAGAGAAATCCTAAGAAACAACCAAATGCTGAAGAGAAATGAAAACATCCTCACACAAAAACTTGTATACAAGTGTACATAACAGCATTATTCAAATGTCCATCAACTGATGAATGGAGAAACTAAACGTGGTCTGTCCATAGCAGAGAATGTGGTTCAGCCACGAAAACGAGTGAAGCACTGACACAGGCTGCGATCAGGAGGGATTTAGACTTTAAAGGTGGACACAGAGGACCCTGTGTTGTGTGATTCAATTTCCATGCGACACCCAGACCGGGCAAATCCTTAGAGGCAGGAGGTAGATTAGTGGCTGCCAAGGACTGGAGAGGGGGAATATGAGTGACCTCTAAAAGGCACAGACTTTTTTGTGGCGATGGAGCTATTCTAAAATTTGCTGCAGTGATGTTTGTAAAACTCTGTGGATATACCAAAAACCACGTGGTATATATGAGATATCTCTGTAAAGCTGTTTTTAATATATATATAGAGAGAGATGGAGATGAAGGGTGGGCTGGTATGTAGATCAATACTAACTAATACAGGTCCACAATCTCTTCACTGCAATTCTGAAATCCAAAAGCTCTTTTAAAATGTCTTATTACTGTTATCTGTACATAGTCTTAAGTTGAATAACTGATTAAAAAAAGGTTCAAAGTCAATTATGGCCTCCACTTGCATGCAGCAGAAAGTGAACGCACTGAACACCCTTGTAGGCTGTACCTGGATTTGCGTGATGTTTCCCTGGAGCTCAGTAGGGGTCTGAAGGGCCCACCTGTCCTTGCCCTCTGCCCTAGGGCTGCCCGGTAGGCCTGGTACTTTTCTCCACATGGCTACTCGTCCTCTGTCAGTGCCAGCAGCCAGAAGACCTACAGGTAGAAACAAACTGCATGTGAACAGAATTGGAAAAGGGAAAATAACAACAACAAGCTCTTCTCTGACACCCTTCTTCAAAGCAGCAGCCCTCGCCCAGTCTGGAGCCTCTCCGCCTCGTCCCTGGCTGTGTCTTCTGCCCAGGTCCTTCCCACCCTGGCCTCATAGTACTGGTGCTGGGGTGGTGGGGATGCTGCTCTCCCAGCTTTCCTAGAGGCCATACGAACTGGCTTAGGGCTGCCCTGTGCTCAGCACTCAGCAGGCACTGGAAGAACGCGGCTCCGGCTCACCTAGGCTCCTGTGCTCTGGATGTGCATATGCATACATACACACATGTGCAGACACACTTCCTGAACTGTCTTTCCTGTGGCATTTCAGGAGTGAACAGAGATCAGTGGGCATGGAATCAGTTTGTCATGCTTCTTTTTAGACAGGGTCACACTCTGTCACCCAGGCTGGAGTGCACTGGCACCACCTCAGCTCACTGCAGCCTCAACCTCCCAGGTTCAGGCAATCCTCCCACCTCAGCATCCTGAGTAGATGGGATCACCGCTGTACACCACCACATCTGGCTAATTTTTGTATTTTTTGTGGAGACAGGGTCTCACTACGTAGCTCAGGCTGGTCTCGAACTCCTGGACTCAAGCCTCCAAAAATGCTGGGATGCCTCCCTCCTCAGCCTCCCCAAGTGCTAGGATGACAGGTTGTCATTCTTCCACCAAACCCCTTGGCCTTCATATGGGATCACAAAGCTCTGCTGTAGCTTGCCTCACCTTGACCGACTATTTGAATGACTGCAAGTTATCAAGTTACCATTGTTGGAGTAGCCTCCAAATTTCACGATCATTATTTTGCCGCCCGAGCACAAGACTCGTGGTTGGTTCTGTTTCTCTCGTGCCAGGCCAGGAAGCCTCACCTTTGACTTTGCAGTAACAAACACAGTTTATATTCTCTCCTTTCTCAAAGCCAAACTTCTCGTCTGGACTCAGTATGTAATTCTCTCCATGTTCTAGATCCCAGAATCTACAAGGGAAAAGAAAGCAAGTCCCATGGAGGACCTGTGTTAGCAACGTTTCCCACTGAGGGGTTTTTGAACCTGTGGAGCAAATGTTAAAAGCCAGGAAAAAGATACAGTTCATGAGACTCCTGATATGAAAATGAACACTGATGTTACATTTAGGATATTTTATGTCCTGTTTATAATCAAAGAAAGCAGTTACTGATAGAAGGTGCTTTGTGTATGGCATGAGGTCACCACAAGAACAGGAACTCCAAGCCCATGCAGAGCACAAGACAGCACCCAGATAGCACACTGCACTAACGCAGCAGGCAGGAGAGAGACCAGCACGACTCATTCCAGTTATGCCATACTCCGAAAAACCAAGAAAACAGATTCCAGGGGCAGACACCAGGGCAGGGCCCCCTGGGGGTGGGGGGAGCCCGGAGGGAGTGCAGGAGGGCAGGCGGGGATTCCTGGGTCTCTGATGCTTATCTCCTCAGTCTGGGAGCTGGTGAATGGGTATGTCCAGCATGTGCGTGGTCATCATCATGTGCGCATTTTACAGCCCATATGGTATATTCCAACATAAAGCTGACGTAGAAGAGCCTGTTCCTCAGCGAATTCTCATCGAGGGGCACTGGAAAGACAGACTCTCACCTGAGGGCAGCCTCCCCAACAGCCATCACGAGAAGGCTGCCTTCAATCAAAGTGATGTCTGCCTGGCAGCCAGTTTTCCCGCTCAGCTTGACCTGTGTAAAGAAACAACAAGGCAGGGACACTGTGCTTGCTGAGACTGCTTGTCCCGGCTTCGGGACCCTGGAGTCTCTGGTGCTCAGTTACTTCATGGAGACTCACCAAGCGGGGAAAACGCAGGGACGAGTGATGGAAACTCTGAGAGGTGACCTTGGGTTTTGAGACGCTTAGGCTGAAGCAAACCACTACTCTCGCACATTAAATAATGGCTGCTGAGTGCATGGTGCAGGCGAGTAGCCACTACTGGACATGCTCTGGAGTGATCACTAAGTTGAGCTGGGTGCTCCCTGTTGAGTCCAACCACACACTTTGGGCAGGCCTATCATCCCTGTTCTGCAGAGAACAAACCTGGCTAGGGCCCACCAGCCAGTGGGGAGCTGAGCAGGGTATTTAAAGCCAGGTCCATGGACTAAACTGCACCTCCCAAACTCATATGTGGAAGCCCTAACCCCAAGTGTGACTGTATTTGCCTTCAGGAGGTACTTAAGGTTAATGAGGTCATGGGGTGGGTGAGCCGTGGCCTGAGGGGGCTGTGGCCACGGAAAGAGACATCAGGGCTGGTGCTCACTCTCCCTTCCCGCCCTATAAGGACACTGAGAGGAGGCCCCTGCTGGCTGCTTGACGTGGGGCATTAGCCTCCAGAACTGTGACAAAAGTCTGCTGTCATGTCATGTAGTCTGTGGTAGATTGTTACGGTGGTCTGAGGTGGCCCCTATGACCAGGTCCCTGTGACTAGTGCCTGTGTCCTCAGCCGCCCTTATGGAATATGTAAAGGACCGAATGAATGCTGACTGAGGAAAGTCAGCTCTGTCATCTACAAGAGCATCTTTGGGGAAAGTTTAGTGGCCTCCAAGGAGCATGGATTCCTGTGGAATAAACCAGCTGGAAGCTGGGGATACGGTCGCCTACCCACTGGGTTCTACAGGTGGAATGAGAGGCTGTGCAGTTGAGCGTGTTTCTCTTACTTGCACCCCAGGTCATGAGGGGTGCAGCTTGCGGGTGGGCCCAGGCTGTCTCCCATCAGGCCCCGCAGCCACCTAAAGATGCAGGAAAATCTCCATCTCTTTTGTTTCCTTCTCCTATGAGCTGAATGTGGTGTGATCAGTAATGACACCGCCGGCTACGTTAGCCGCCCTAACACAGATGATAGGCTTTTCAGGCTTGCTATCCGGAAGAGAAAGGGCTGTCCCTGAGGCCAGAGTGAATCTGGCCTGAGCTCCCCAGCATGAGCCCCCGAGCCTGCTCCCACTCACCTTCATCACTTCTTCTGCTTCGCGCTCAGGAGGCACCATGTACAGGGACAGCCGGAGGTTCTCTGTGACCACCACCAGCGCCTCCCTCTTCTCCACATAAAACAGCGTCTGGATTGCGCTGTCTGCGGACACCACCTGAGTGGTCTTGCCCTTCTCATCCACATAGTGCACCGTCCCTGGGGGCAAAGGTAGGGTCACTACATAAGGAGGCCCTTGTTTATCCATTTCCACGACCCTCACAAGAAGCCATTTCTATCAACTTAAGGACATTTTCAAAGCAAAGCATCTTCCGTATAAGAACTTAAAAATGTGCCCAGTGTGGTGGCTCAGGCTTGTAATCAGGTGATCTCACCTGAGGTCAGGAGTTCAAGGCCAGCCTGGCCAACAGGGTGAAACGCTGTCTCTACTGAAAATAGAAAAACTAGCTGGGCATGGTGGTGGGTGCCTGTAATCCCAGCTACTTGGGAGACCTAGGCATGAGAATCACTTGAACCCAAGAGGTGGAAGTTGCTGTGAGCCGAGATCATGTCACTGCACTCCAGCCTAGGTGACAGAGAGAGACTCTGCCTCAAAACAAAACAAAAAAAAAGTACTTAAAAATGAAGCATGTGACCCGACCTTACCGGCTGCAACTTCCACTTTATGGGCTTAGCTCATCCTCCAGCTGTCTCTATTGATTCCTTCTCCGCCCCATCTCGGTGGATTTCACATCCACCCTGCTGACCCTGCAGATCTGGCAGCCTCGGAGCTCTGTGTCCATCTCATGCCCTCTACACACTGAGGCCCTAAATGATGAGCCCTCTCTGTGGCCGCTGCTCCCTGTCCCTTCTGCCCCGGGTGTCGCTGCTGTGCCGCCTGCCTCCTGGCAGGCCCTTAACCTCCACAAGCTGCTCTAGGTCTGAGCTACAGGACTCAGCTGAACCCAGTGCAGAACCCCACTCCTCATGCCCTGCCCGAGCCTGTTCCAGTGCTGGCCAGCCACTCTGTCTGAAGCCCCTGTGCCGGCTTGGAGACTCGGGCTCATTTCTGCTGCTGTGCAGCAGCCTCCCCTGGGAGCCTTCTCACCTTCCCCTCCCATCTTTTGCCTGATGGCTAATGAGTTCTTATGTTTATTATTCTTTTTCTAAAAGACAGGTTCTCACTGTGTCAGCCCGGCTGCAGTACAGTGACATGCTCATAGCCTACGGCAGCCTTGACCTCCTGGGTTCAAGTGATCCTCCCACCTAGGCCTCCCAGGTAACTGAGACCACGGGCAAGCATCACCACACCCAGAACAAGTTCTTATTCAACAGAAAAATTCAAGACGATCTAGAGGCGAATGGTGACACTAACTAGTATTTAATAAGCATATGGAACGTGGCAGGCTCAGTCCTTAGCATCTTCACAGGTGGTAACTGGCTAGACACCAGTATTATCCCCATTTTCCACAGAAGGACATGACACGCATTGATGAACTCACCCCCAAAGCCCATAGCTCCTGGACCACCACCAGAAATTTGCAGCCCACAGGCCGCCAGAGCCGGCTCCTCCCTGGCACGCACCCGCCTCCTCTAGGCAACCAGCGTCTCTCCCTTGTGGGCCTCATCCCTACACCCCCTTCTCATTCACCTAACCTGGCATGTCCCTCCTTGCCACCTCACAGTGCTGTACCCACTCAGATGTCCCCAATGGGATCTTCTCAATGTCCCCCCTCTAGTGGCTCTGACTCTTCACCTTCTAAAATGCAGTATTTCTCTTATTTAAAAATTACAAAAACCACAGAGCTCTGTCTGCTGTCATCTGTTTTCTTCTTCCTGTCAAGATCCAGCTGCTTGGTGAAACCAAGAAAAAGCCTCCTTTCTCCAGAGACCTGGCCACCTCTGTGTAGCTCTCATCTCCTCAGCCGCACCAGCAACAGACACACACAGACGTCTGTGACCCAACAGATGTCACATGGCTGTTAGAGATGCGCTTTTCTTTTAACTTCATATTGCATTTATTGTGGCCTTGGCTGGGCAGCTCATCTCCCTCGTACAGTAAGGAGGAGCGGGCTGAACACCAGACACACTGTGCCCAGTGCTGACCTCCTGATGAAGGCTGGCCAGGGGCTGCAAGCTGCAGTGAAACCCCCTGCCCTGTCCACACCTCATTCCCACACCCTAGCCAAGTACCTGACATACAGTAGGTGCTTGATAATAACATAGATTGAATACCAGGGGTGCCACCAAAGAATCTTTCCAAAACTATCTCTGGTGCCACGCAGTCAGTGTGTGACAGTTGATTAAAAGCCTCCTCATGAAAACCTTTCAAACACAAGCAAAGCTCAACTTGTCTATGAGAACAAAGTGACGGCAACCTTTCAACAGCGGACAGTGGCCTGCAGAGAGCGGCTGCCGTAGCACTCCACCAGCACACATCACCGTCCTGTGCATCTTGCTGCGATTACCATCACTGTTCTATGCAGAACACCATCCATGAGTTTAACTTCCCTACCAGGTGCTGCTAAAACGCTAGGACCCTTGAGAATCACAACCAAAGTTCCTCACCATCCATCAGACTGACAAAGAACGACAGCCCCTCCTGAGACCCCAACTTCAGCAAGCTTCCAGAGCTGCTTTTCTTCCAGTTAAACATGTCCAGAGCCTTCTCGTCGCCGCTCACAGCTGCCTTTGCCAACTGAACCAGGTCCCTGAAAGCAAACATGACACAAAGTCAAGATTCTTCCACGTTCCTGGAGTGACTTGGGGCTGGGGCCCCTTCTAGACCAGGAGCAGCCCGTTTCCCACTTCCCCCAGTGCAAACACATGCACGGGTCACAGGGTGAGCCCCACACTTACTCGCCAGGAGGGGGGAGCCGGAAGATGCAGTGCGTGAGGTGTTTCCCATACTCGTGTTTCAGCAGGGGCATCCCTTGCACTCGGCCCCTTTGGTCCAGCCTCCACAAGAGCAAGACACCAAGCTGCAAAGACCCAATACTACATGTTAGGACACGTGTCCTGACAGAATGACTGGTGGAAGGCAAAAGGTGAACTGTGCAACAAGATATATGCACATTCATTTCTAAAAAATTACAAAACTACCGCATATACACCATGACAATTTCAAACAATTCCAAAGTGTTAAAGAACTAGAAACCCTTTTATAGGGCATTCTCCTTCTTCATGCCTAGAGATGGCCACTGCTATATATTCAAGGTTTTTTTGTTTTTGTTTTTAAGTTTTTTTGAGACAGAGTCTCGTTCTGTCGCCAGGCACCGGGCTGGAGTGCAATGGCGCGATCTCGGCTCACTGCAACCTCCACCTCCTGGGTTCAAGCAATTCTCCTGCTTCAGCCTCCTGAGTAGCTGGGACTACAGGTGCGCACCACCACACCCAGCTAATTTTTGTATTTTTAGTACAGACGGGTTTTCACCACGTTGGCCAGGACGGTCTTGATCCCTTAACCTCATGATCCGCCCGCCTTGGCCTCCCAAAGTGCTGGGATTACAGGCACTAGCCACCATGCCCGGCCTATATTCAAGTTTTTAAAATAAACTTTTAACTTTGGAATAGACTCCCATTTGCAGAAAAACTGCACAGACAGTGAAGAGTTCTTTATCTTCCACCCAGTCCCCTATTATTAGGTCTTACCTTGGCATAGCACAGTGTTTACTATTAGTGATTACTGTTGAGTTATTGTTAACTAAGTCCACATTTCAGTCACACATCCTCAGTTCTTCCCCAATACCCCTTTCTGTCCTAGGACACCAACTGGGACACCACATGACATCTGGCCTCCGTGTCTCCTCAATTCTTCCCCAGTACCCCTTTCTGTCCCAGGACCCTGATTGGGACCACCATGTGACATTTGGCTGCTGTGTCTCTTTGGGCTCCTATGGGCTGTGACACTGTCTCAGGCTCTTTGTCTTGAGGCCCTGGACGATTTGAGCCCTGCTGGCTGGATATATCATGGGATGCCCCTCCACTGGGATTGTTGATGGTTTTTCTCATAGTTACCTGGGGCGGAGGGTGTGGGGAGGAGGAGCACAGAGCTGATGCGCCTTCTCTGCATGCTGCATCCCCATGACTTGTCACTGTTGGTGCTGACCTTGATCACCTGGTGGAGGTCGTGCTTGTGGGGTCTTTCCACTGTGAAGCGGCTCTTCCCCCGGCCCCCTCTCCACCCTGTACTGTTCAGAAGGAAGTCACTCTGTGCAGCCCACACTTGAGGAATGGGAGTTATACTCTACCCTGAGGGGTGAAGCATCTATGTAAACTACCTGGGCTTCTTCAGCATGGGAGATTTGCCTCTTCCCTACCATTTACTTACTCATTCAATCCTGTGTATCAGGATGGACACAGGGATATTTACTTCCCATTCTGGGTTACCATCCAAGGCTGCCTCGCATATGCTGGCATGCTGTTGCTCATACTACACCAGCTTTAAGCTCTTCCGTTGGCCTCTGTGTCCCTCTCATGTGCCTCATCACCTGGGTTTGGTGAGCACTTCCTTTCTGGTGCCCTAAAATTATCTAGGCTCATTTTTCATTTTTTTTTTTTTCTCTTCTTTGGGACAGGGTCTCACTGTGTTGCCTAGGCTGGAATGGAGTGGTATAATCACAGCCCACTGCAACCTTAGCCTCTGGAGTAGCTGGGAATACAGATGCTAACCACCACACCTGGCTAAATTTTGTATTTTCTGTAGATATGTGGTCTCACTATGTTGCCCAGGCTGATATCAAACTCCAGGGCTCAAGCAATTTTCCCACCTCTGCCTCCCAAAGCGCTAGGATTACAGGTGTGAGCCACAGAGCCTAGCCTAGGCTCAGTTTTCTATTCCAGTCCTGGAATCAGCCATTTCTCCAAGGAGCCCTGGTTGCTTTATTAGAGAATGGAGTTAGAAGCAAAGACCTGGTGCTGGGCACGCTGCATGCTCAATTTAAAATCATCACAGTGGCAAATGCATGGCACAGACAAGTGCGAGCAAAGTTCTGGGAAGGGGAAGGCAGCTCCATGAGGACGGCTGGCAGCGCCTCCGTGACTGGGGAGGCAGTTGGCGGTGCTGAAGAGCAGCATCGCCATCTGAACCCGTGTGCATGATTCTTCTGCTTTGATGCCAAGCACACCCCAGGGGACTCTTCCTGGACCAAAACTGGGGGACACATTAGCCCACTGTGTGCTCTTCTTCCCACCACCCTTTCAGGCAGCACCAACTCCCATCTCCCCCAATGCTGGACAGGAAGAGGACTTTCAAATAACATCAGATTTAAAGGAAACTTATACAAGAAAGGTTTTGCAAGATCTAAGATACCATGTGGCATGTAAATACACGCCACAGGAATAGTATATATTATCATATGATTCTTAACTACAACAGCTTGATGAAGACAAGAATAAAAACACCATTGCAAGGCTGGGCATGGTGGCTCACGCCTGTAATCCCAGCACTTTGGGAGGCCGAGGTGAGCTGATCACTTGAGGTCAGGAGTTCAAGACCAGCCTGGCTAACATGGTGAAACCTGGTCTCTACTAAAAATACAAAAATTAGCTGGGCATGGTGATGCACACCTGTAATCCCAGCTACTTGGGAGGCTGAGGCAGGAGAATCACTTGAACATGGGGAAGAGAGGTTGCATGAACCGAGATCACACCACTGTACTCCAGCCTGGGTGACAGAGTGAGACTCTGTCTCAAAACAACTGCCCCAGGGTCCTGGCTTGGGTCTTCTCCGTCTTAATTTTTTGTACCTCTCACCACTCCTGAAGATAATCTTTTGTGTGCAGGGTGTCCAACAACAAAAAAACAAAAAACCCCTCACTATTGGTGTCTCTGTGTTAGTGATTTTAAAAATATTTTTAAAATAACGCTTGCATATTGAGAAAAAGCCTCACCTAACGGTAGAAATGAAAATAAATGACCCTCCTTTCCCCTGTCCCAGCCTCCCCCCTGGAGCTGAGTAATGTGGTGACTCCCGTGTCTGCAAAGCATTTCATACACACCACATCCTCAGGGGTATTCATTCCTGTGTCCTCAGCCAGTCTTGTTTTTTTTCCCAAGTGACTTTACAGGTCTTTATTAGCACATACAAGCTTCTAGCTGACTGCTTCACCAGCACTCTGAACATCATCAGACAGACTGACATCCGTGTTTCCAGGCTGCTTCCCTGTGGGAAGAGGTTGCTGGACGCAAATGTTGAGAGCACCTGCACCCAGAAGCAGAAATCTCTGCTCAGGCGGATGCACATAAGCCCTTGTTCTGAGAGAGGGACAGGTGTCTACTATCAAGAGCTCCACTTCCACCAACTCATGGGAAAGGAAGTCACAGGATGCAATGAGTCAATACTCCCGATCCCCAGGTTTCTAGGAATGTGAGCATGAAGTACAGATGTAGAACCAGGCCTGAGGCGCCTCCACCTCGGCGGCTCAGGCTCTGCTCCTCACCCTGACTCTAGTGTTGAACTGCCCCAGGGTCCTGGCTTGGGTCTTCTCCGTCTTAATTTTTTGTACCTCTCACCACTCCTGAAGGTAATCTTTTGTATGCAGGGTGTCCACCATCTGTGAATTCTGTTATTTTATACAGTATAATTTTATACAGTAAGACCCTAAAGAAAAGCTACCCCAAAGGTGAGAAACTAGCTCTACTTGTGAAAAGCAAGAGTTAAATGTACTAAGGGAGTAATGGGAAAGCAGCGTGTGCTGGGTGAGCATCTCATCTCATCTCAGTGGTGCCTTAAGGCATCAAAGCATGAGTTATGCTGGGGGTTCTCCAGTGGCACGTCACTGGGAAGCTTTGCTAAATGCTGGCTGGCCCCGCATCAAGGTCTGGGTTTACTTGGCCCTCACACTCGGTTCTGCTGGAGCTCCCCAGAAGGCGCGAGTGGCCTGGCCTGTCTGACATGCTCTCCTCTTCTCTACTGGTGAGACTTCTAAGGGACACTTAGTGGGATATCTTTTATAGAGATCGCAGTCACCTACCTCCCCAGTTACTGCTGATGAGAGCACTGTGGGCACTTGGCCTGAGCTAGACTTTGGGGTCCCCTCCCTGAGTCTGGACTTGGGACAGGGAGGAGGAACAGGTCATCCTAACTTGGCTGTGCTCTCCTGTGAGACTGTGGGACACTCCAGTGGCCTCAGTTTAACTGCACTTCTAACTTCAGCTGGTCTGGGATGATTCCACTGGTAACCACAACAGGGTCTCTGGTGGAAGAGCAGGGAAGCCCCTTGCACCATGTCTGGGGAAGAGATGTCTCTGCCCTATGGCATTCAAAATATTGTTCCCTTGTTATTACTTCTCTTCCTGCTTGAACTCATTATTAAATTAGTTCCAGCATAATCTTAGATTTTCCTAGAAGGATTAGGCATTTCTGCTCTTAAATATTCAGACTCACAGGACTTGATCAACTGATACCTGGGTTTCATTTTATATCAGGATTATCTATTTTTCTAGCTGTTTCTTTCTTTTTCTCAAGAGATGGGGTCTTGCTATGGTGCCCAGGCTAGACTCAAACTCTTGGGCTCAACTGATCCTCCTGCCTTGGCCTCCAAAGTAGCTGGGACTACAGGTTCATGCCACCATGCCTGGCTTACTTGCTTCTTAATATAGTCAAGATGAGAATATAAAATTCGATGATTCTGAATTACTTTACACTAAAGGGGATTGGCAGACATTTCCACAGCAGGGAGGTAGGAAAGATCACCAAGGAAGTAGAAATTTGGGGACAGGTCAATGTCATTAAGGGAGAATTGAACAGAAAAACTGAAAAAAATCCTCCAGAAAAAGGGAACAACCTGATAGAAAAATTGGCAAATAATATCATCAGAAACAGAAACAGAAATGGCTCCCATGAATGATATTCATCCTCGATAGCAAGAGAAACATAAATGGGACTCCTAAGGAACACTTAGACCCACTAGGGAGCTGTTCTGGATTAAAACACTGCTGAGATACCACTTTTCTTTTTTTCTTTTTTTGAGAAGGAGTCTTGCTTGGTCACCCAGGCTGGAGTGCAGTGGTACAATCTCAGCTCACTGCAACCTCTGCCTCCTAGGTTCAAGCAATTCTCCCGCCTCAGCCCTGCAAGTAGCTGGGACTACAGGCATGCACCAGCATGCCCAGCTAATTTTTTGTATTTTTAGTAGAGATGGGTTTTACCGTGTTAGCCAGGATGGCCTCGATCTCCTGACCTCCTGATTCACGGGCCTCAGCCTCCCAAAGTGCTGGGATTACAGGGGTGAGCGACTGTGCCTGGTCGAGATACTACTTTCCAGGCAGTTCTGCTACTCAGATGCAGCTCTCTAAGGAGACAGGCTGTTCTGTGGTGTAAGCTGGTGCAGGCCCTAAGGCCAGTGGTGTGGGCAACTGCTAAGCCACAGGACATCGCTGGGACCCATCGACACCCCCTTCTCGGTGTTTTTCTAAATGTATACATGTGCAAAATGGCATAAGCATTTTACTCATTGCGTCATTGTCTCATTAGCAAAAGATTGAAATCCATCAAAATGATAATCAACAGGAGGCTGGTTCAATAAGTTATAACATTCATATAATGAAAAGCTGGTTTAAAGATAACAAGGAAGTTTGCTATTAACCCATATGGAAGAATCACCAAGATATGCTATTAAATGGAAAAAGCAAGAGACGTGACAGTGTGTACAGGATGCCACCACTTATGTGAAAAAGAATGAGGAAATCAGGAGACAATGTCTTCTCTGCAATATTTCTGCCAAAAATGTATGAAATGAAACTATTATGAGGAGACAATCAAACACAGCCAACTTGAGTACTTGAGTGACAGCCTATAAAACAACCAGTCTATAGCCTCAAAACATCAATTTCATGGAATATTAAAAAAAAAGGGAGGACGAAGGAAGGAAGGAAGGAAGGAAGGCAGGCAGGCAGGCTGGCTGGCTGATCAATGGACTGACCAGGGAATTGTTCTTGAAAAGAAACTAGCTAAAAGTGATAGCTCACACCAGTAATCCCAGCACTTTGGGAGGCCAAGGCAGGCGGATCACCTGAGGTCAGGAGTTCAAGACCAGCCTGGCCAATATGGTGAAACCCAGTCTCTGTCAAAATACAAAAATTAGCCAGGCGTGGTGGCGCATGCCTGTAATCTCAGCTACTTGGGAGACCTAGGCACGAGAATCACTTCAACCCGGGAGGTGAAGGTTGCAGTAAGCTGAAAATGTGCCACTACACTCCAGCCTGGGTGACAGAGGAAGACTCCATCTAAAAAAAAAAAAAAAAAAAAAGAGCCTGGAGAGAAATAACAGTGAAATGCAATGCATGACCCTTTACTGGATCCTGGATTGGAAAAAAACAGCTCTAAAGGACATTCCTGGGGCAAATGGAGAAATGTGAATATAAAGCGCATCTTGGATGTTGGCATTGTCACTGATTCATTTCCTGAAGTGTCATAACTCTGCTGTGGCTGTGCAGGAGAATGCCCTAGGCCTTAGGAGAGTGACGTCTAAATATGCAGGGCTGAAGCATCATGTCTACAATAAACTCACAAATATTCAGGAAAAATACACATGCAGCAAGAGAGAAAGCAGACTTGGCAGTGGGAACAGCTGGCAAATCGACATGGAGGGTGGATGGGTGTCCCTGCACTGTTCTTTCAACTCCCCTCATAATTTAGAAACTTCAAAATCTCGAGTTACAGAGATTATGCATTTGTGTGTACTGAAGAAATGGGAGAAATGGTAAGAAGCCATGTTTGCTGTAGGGCAGCCATGGGTCTGAGGAGAGAGGACATGGTCAATCTTCACTCTAGATGCCTGTTACCCTTTTTGAATCTTGGAACACATGAATGTGTTACCTGTCAATTAAGGAAACACGTGATAACACTCTGCCACACAAGTGTGATTCAGCTGGCTCTGCACTGCGTCGCTCTGCTGTGGATCTGTCCTGTGCACTGTGCAATGGGAGGCTGCATCTAGCACCCGCTGGGGTCCAGCAGTACCCTCCTCCCAAACTGTGACAACAGAAAATGGGACTCTATCCCATGTCCCCTGTGGGGCAGAATCAACGGGGTAAGAAGCCCAGAGCTATACAAACAGGCCTAGGGAAAAGTGGCAGTATCTGAGTGCTCACCCCATCTTTCTGAATGGAGTTTCCCAGCACAGTTCATTTATGACGGTGCAGCCATACCTATGCCACAGAGTGGCAAATTTTCAAGCTTTGCTTCCATTATAAAACAAAATCTACAATTGCATCTGACAAGATCAACTGAATTTAGCTACAAGACATTTCCTGTATTTTGAGGTTTCGTGCTCTGAAGAGCACGGTCAGAGAAGGCCAGGATCTGAAAGCAGCGTCCTGCCCGTGTTGACTCACCCTGTCCCCAGACAGCAGGCAGTTCCCACTGGGGCTCCAACTGAGCACGGTGATGTCGGCCGTGTGTGTCGGGGATACCGGGTGCTGCTCCTTGTCCTGCTTGTTAAACACCGTCACTTCTCCAGTCTCCCAGCCCACAGCTAGCACCAGCCGTGTCGGGTGCCAGCACAGGGAAGCAACCCGGAACGGCCTCTCGACATGTGTATCCGGCACGCACTCCCCCTGCGTTGGACAAGAGATAAAATCCCACAGTTCAGAGAGGGACAGCTCCTTCAAGAACTTCTGTCTAATCTGTGGACTCCACGTAGGTGACAAGCTATAAAGGGCTACTTATTAAGGTAATGTTCTCAGTAGGCTCTTTAACTTTTCATGAACATATACCAGCCTGGCTCCTAGCTGAGCTACCAAAGCAGAAGGTTACCTGCACTTAGCTAACAACCCCGACCACTGTGTCAAGGAGTGCCACCTCCTCCCCATGGCTGCTGGATGGCTGGCACGTATCTTAGTGGTGTGGCTGGGTTCCATAAAACCTTATTTACAAAAACCGGCAGTGAGCCAGCAGGTGAGGTTTGTCGCCACAAGGGTCTCAAGTGTGGCCCAGAGACTCCAGGACCCTTTCAGGGCTCTGAAAGGTGAAAATTATTTTCAGAATGATACTGACATTTTTGGTGCCATTCATACTCTCCTTCTCTCACGAGTCTACAGTGGAGCTTTTCTAAGGCTGTGTGATGTGGTGATGTCACTGATGACAGCTCGTGAGATACGTGCTGTGCTTTCTTTCCTTTTTTTTTTTTTTTTTGAGACGGAGTCTTGCTCTGTCACCTAGGCTGGAGTACAGTGGTGCAATCTTGGCTCAATGCAACCTCTGCCTCCCGGGCTCAAGTGATTCTTCTGCCTCAGCCTCCCGAGTAGCTGGGACTACAGGTGTGTGCCACCACGTCCAGCTAATTTTTGTATTTTCAGTAGAGATGGGGTTTCACCATATTAGCCAGGCTGGTCTTGAACTCCTGACCTCGTGATCCACCTGCTTGGGACTCCCAAAGTGCTGTGATTTCAGGTGTGAGCCACCATGCCCGGCCATGTGCTGTGTTTTCTTTTTTTTTTTTTTGAAGGTGAAAAAAATTTTATTATTATAAGTATCAATTACAAGAAATAATATTAAAACAATGTTCTTAAAATTTAATATTTTTCCCACTTCAAATTCCTGGAAATGTAAGTACAAAATCTTTCAGTTTTTCTTGTTGAAATAAAGTGTTCTGAATAAATCTACTGATTTTATATTTTTCTAAGATTTTCTAAAGAAGTAGTAGCTTTAGGGAAGATATAATGTGTTTTCAGAGATTAACTTGGTTTGCCCCCAGTTCTTTCACTGGGCTTAGGGGCCATCTTCTGTGATCTCATCATTATCCAATAGATCGTCATTTTGAAATCCTAAAGCTTTTCTTGTGCCAACTGGAAACACAGAAATATGCTGTTGACTATTTTATAATAGTATGCTTTAGATCTTCTAAATTTAAAAATGTTATAAAACTGCTATAATTTTGGAATTTAATAATATTTATTCTTAAAAAAAATCCCGTTTACAATACATGTTACAGACTCCTGCAAGGGAGAATCTACTCAAAAAAAATGGGCAAAACTGGGCTTGGTGCTGGGCTAGCCTGAGCCATAAGGCTGGCACGGCCTTTGCAGAGCTGCCAATGTATGGAGCAGCCTGCCAGCAGTCAGAGGAGCCGCTGACCAGCACCGAACCAGCTGCAAGGGCGTGCGTGCGTGCGTGCGTGTGTGTGTGTGTTGGGGTGGGGCGCGGAGGCAGGGCTTAGCCAATTTCACCTGAAGGATTAATGCATCAATTATGCAAATGAATGAGGCAGCGTCTTCTTTGCAGGTAGCACAGCATGTGCGTGACTGGAAGGCTGAGGAAGGGTATGGAAGGCTGTGTCGGCATCAGGGAAGGAGAGTGTGATGTGACAGGCGGCAGGGCCAGAACTGGGGGGTGCTGAGGGTTACATCGGGGACTCCACGCTCATCCAAAGGGCAACACAGGGCCAGGAAGGTGGGAGCAGCGGTGATTCCATCTGTGAGGCCAAAAGACAGGCCACGTCTGGCTGCCATGTGGAGTAGAGGAGGCCTGTAAGGGTGCAGCTGCCACAGTAGGAAGCTGTGCTGGTGTCCAGGAGAGCGGGATGGGAGTCTAGAGGAGGGAAAGGTGGATGGAAGGGCGAGAAGTAGCACACTTGCCAGAGGTTCCAAGGGAGAAACTGGGAGGATATGGTGACGGATTACAAGGCAGGGGAATGGGAGATGTCAATAGTCATGCCCAGGTCCCTGTTCTGGAAACCAGGACAAAGAGGGTACCTTTCATTGAGATGGGAGGTGCCCATTTCAGTGAGCAGGAGGTATGAAGGAGATATGAGGCAGGGAGGGGTGGGGAACAATTTCAGTTCAGTCCTGTGTAATTTGAGGTCTCCTTGAAACATCCCAGAAATGTCAGGAAGGCAGCTGGGTCCCTAAGCTTACAGCTCTGAGGGAACTTCTAGGCAGGAGACATTATGTCTGCAAGCCACTGGGCATGCTCAGATCACAGGAGAAGGAAGAAACAAAGAGGAGCCTTGAGCAAGCTCTGCGGAAGGCCATGGTATTCACAGGCTGGAAACCGAGGAAGAGCTGGCAAAGCCATGGAGGCCCGGCAGGGAATGCCCCGCCCCTGTGCTCTCGGCATGTTTCCCAGAGGACTTCACAGGAGTGTGGCACGGACAAGGACTCCAAAGTACTCTGAAGGTGACACCAAGAGGCAAGTGATGACTGCTGCTGCTTGGGTGAAGTTGTGGCAGCAACAGGGAGCCTGCAGAGGGCTGAAGAGTGAGTGGAGGAGGAAACCCCATTTTCTTTGCAGAGTTTGAGGGCACTGAGCACTGAGAGGCGGCTGTGGAAGTTTGAGGAGCTTGGAGAAGCTGTTAGAGGTTGAATTGTGCCCCCACAAAGATATGTGGAAGTCCTATCTCCTGGTCCTTGTGACGTAGCCTCCCTTGGAAATAGGGTCTTTGCAGATGTGGGTAAGCTAAGGCTAGGTCATTAGAGCAGGCCCTAGTTAAACGTGCCCGGCATCCTTTTAGAAAGAGGAGAAGACACGCAGAGGAGAAGGCTGTGCGACAGCAGAGGCAGGGCAGGGGCAGCACATGTGCCAGCCACGGAGCACTAAGGCTTGCTGGGAACAGCAGGAGCAGGCCAGCAGCTCGGAGCAGACTCTCTCCCCTCAGCCTTCGGAGCCAGCAGGCCCTGCTGACACCTGACCTTGCAGTTCGGGCCTCCAGGGCCACCAGAGTACCTTGCTGTTGTTTTCTGCCACCCAGTTTGTGGGAATGATTGGAGTTCCAAACAGCCACTGTGGAGCGTGGAGGAGGGTGCTGTCAGAGGAGGCTGCCTCAGGATCCACGAGCAGCACTGAGAGGCCATTTCTGGTGGTGACCGTCAACTGACAGTGCTTGATGCTGATAAGCATTAGCATTCCTAAGCACATCCCCACGCCAACAGCCAGGGTTAAAGAACTGCCCAAATACAAGGGCTTTTATAACTCGGGGATTTGACCTCTGTGCAAACTGATGATGGATGTTGTTTTCTTCATGAATAAGCTAGAGTTTGTTTGAAAACATATACACATGTACACACATATGTACCACATGCATACATGCACATACACACGTGTGCACACACATGCGCATACACCCCCCCCACAAATACATGCACATACAGATGCACACACACACACACACACAGATCCACACACATACAGCTGCGCACACACCCCAACATGTATACAGATGCACACACATCCATATGCACACATGTGCACACACATGCATGTGCGCATCAATACACCCCCAACATACATACACACACATACAGATGCACGCACACCCATATGCATACACATGTGCACACACATACCCATATGCACACACATACATATGCTCACACACACCCGAACACACACACACCCATATGCACACACACATACACAGATGCACACATATACATGTGCGCATACACACACCAACACACATACAGATGCACATACACACATACACATACCCATATGCACAAACACGCACACACACGAGAACAACAATTACAAGGGCCAGAAGATAGCACAGTCAGGCTCCTTGCTTCTGAGCACTCGCCTGCTCCAGGTAAATATCCACGCTGCCTGTCGAGGTGGTGCTGATGTAGGCGACTGCCAGGAACGGATGGACGGGGTGCCAGCTGATGTGCGAGGGTGACCCTGCTGCCTCTGGGGCTTCTATCCGGTGGTCAAAATAGAGGGCCATGACGGAACTCAGGCCTGGTCAGCACTGAAAGCTGCAAGGGGAAAAAAATGACCAAGTCCAGTTGGTTTTTAAAAAAAAAAAAAAAAAAAAAAAAAACTGAAGGTAAAAAAAAAAAAAAAAAAAAAAAAAAAAAAGAAAAGAAAAGAAACAAAATGTACATGGAACGACAAAAGGGAAGCATCCCAAACCCACAGTCGCAAGACCGCTGGCAACTTGAAAACGCCTTGTGGACCGAGCGGGCAACCTGACGTGAGGAGAATGCCAACAGGCAGAAATGCAGCATGAGAGGCAGGGGTTAGACCCAGAATTACCCAGGGTGTGACAGAAACGAGTACAGCTCACTGCCAGCAAAGGAGGAAAGAAAGAAGAGCCCTGCAGCCTATACTACACGTGCGATCCTCGGTAACTGTCATTCCAGTCACTGAAGAACAATTTCTATTTCTGCACTTGCCTTTTTTTCCTTTTTAGACAAAGTCTCACTCTGTTGCCCAGGCTAGAGTGCAGTGGTATGATCACGGCTCACTGCAGCCTCAAACTCCTGAGCTCAAGTGAGCCTCCTACCTCAGCCTCTCAATTAGCTGGGACTGCAGACATGCACTACCACACCCAGCTAATTTTTAAATAATTTTTGTAGACACAAGGTTTTGCTATGTTGCCCAGGCTGGTCTCAAACTCCTAAGCTCAGGCAATTCTCCTGCCTTGGCCTCCAAAGTGCTGGGATTACAGCCATAAGCCACTACGCAAAGCCTATAGGTGCCTTTTAAACAACATTTTCAAACAAAATAAAAGTAAATTGCTCCGGAAGAGAGTACTGGCACAGAAAAAACCAGTACTCAATTTCCAGTAAGGCATAAAATCGAAGACTGTCTCCTACCACTGACTCATAGGTGGTAGAAGACAGAAGCCTTCCTCTATTAGAGAGTCAACAACACACAGCCACAGCAGCTGTGAGATGCTGAGCTTGATCAGTTATGTGAACTGAATCTCTCATTCTTCCTTTCAGATCTGGAAAAGAGATACATATTGTCCCTTTTCAGGAGGAGTAGGGTGATAAATGAAGTGACAGTCTGGTTACTGCTCACTTTTTTACACCTCAGTCAGTTTGGGGAAGTTAATTGGCAGAGAAGCTTATTTGTAGACTGGTCTGCCACCATTTAAAATTACTCAGGCCGGGTGTGGGGGCTCATGCCTGTAATCCTAGCACTTTGGGAGGCTGAGGTGGGCAGATTGCCTGAGCTCAGGAGTTCAAGACCGGCCTGGGCAAAATAGCGAAACCCCCCTCTCTACTAAAAATAAAAAAAATTAGGCATGGTGCATGCCTATAATCCCAGCTATTCAGGAGGCTGAGGGAGAAGAATCGCCTGAACCCAGAAGGTGAAGGTTGCAGTGAGCTGAGATCCTGCCATTGTACTCCAGCAATAGAGCCAGACTCTGTTTCAGAAAAAAAAATATTCAATTTCATATCCATCATGACAACTATCAGAAAAATAGAGGATGTGGGGAAACTCGAATGCTTGTACGCTACTGCTAGGAATGTAAAATGGTACAGCAGCTGTGAAGAAGTCTGGCTGTTCCTAAAAACATGAAACATAGAATTACCATTTGATCCATCAATTCCACTTCTGGGTAAATAGTTCAAGTATTGAAAGAAACTTGAACAGGCATTTATACACCCATGTTCACAGCAGCATCATTCACAATAGCTAAAAAGTAGAGGCAATCCAAATGTCTATTGATGGATAAAGTGCACAAAATGTCTATTTGTATAGCGGAATATTATTTAGCCTTAAAATTCTGATACATGTTACAAGATGGATGAAGCTTGAAGACAATATGCTAAATGAAATAAACCAGACACAGAAAGATAAATGCTGTATGATTCACTTATATGAGGAACCCAGAGTAGTCAAATATGATAGAGACAGAAAGTAGCCAGGTGTGGTGGCTCACGCCTTAAATCCCAGCACTTTGGGAGGTCGACGCAGGCAGACTGCTTGAGGTCAGGAGTTTGAGACCAGTCTGGCCAACATGGTGAAACACCGTCTCTACTAAAAATACAAAAAAATTAGCTGGGTGTGGTGGCGTGCACCTGCAATCCCAGCTACTCGGGAGGCTGAGGCAGGGGAATTGCTTGAACGAGGGAGGTGGAGGTTGCAGTGAGCAGAGATTGTGCCACTGCACTCCAGCCTGGGTGACAGAGAGAGACCCCAACTCGAAAACAAAAAGAAAGAAAGCAGAAGGGTGGTTGCCAGGGGCCGGTGGGGGGGAACGAGGAAAGAATTTCTGTTTGGGATGATGAGAAAGTTCTGAAGACGACTGCGGTGATGGTTACACAACATCATGGATATACTTAAAGCCCCTGAACTGTATGCTTACACATGGCTGAAACAGCAAACTTCGTATTACGTATGTTTAGCCACAATTAAAAAGTATTAGGCTGGGCACGGTGCTTCACATCTGTAATCTTAACACTTTGGGAGGCCAAGGGGGAGGATTACTTGAGCCAGAGGTTTGAGACTCATCTAGGTAACATAACCTTGTCTCTACAAAAAATTTAAAAATTAGCTCGGCATGGGGGTGTATACCTGTAGTTCCAGGTCTCAGGAGGCCAAGGTAGGCAGACTGTTTGAGGCCAGGAGGTTGAGGCTGCAGTGAGCTGTGACTGCAGCACTACAATCCAGCCTGGGTGACAAAGAGAGACCCTGTCTCAAACAAACAAACAAACAAAAAATTGTTCAAAAATATTAGAGACCTGAAAAGTTCTATCAAGAGAAGGGCACAATGGACTATGCTGTTTGCTTTCCTCAGTACACAGACTATAGGAGTGGAAACTGGGAAGACTGGTTTGGATCTGCAGGACACACTCTTCCATGAGAAGCTGGAAGACAGATATGTATGAGTGAACCATCATGTCTCACATGCTGCCTTTCTCCTGTGAATATATGCCCTGAATACTAAACACAGTCATAATTTTTGCTCTCACCACCAGACTACACAGTGGCAGACTATGGCCCTGGTGGTGTGGCTGGTTCCCTCTCCAGGGTCTCACCTGGCTGGAGGAGCAGGAGGCGGGTGGGAGTCAGAGGAGGGCAGACCCCAGCCTCCTGCACATACATCACTTAGGAGACATCTACACTGGGTAGGGCTCTGGTTTCTTTGAATAAAGTCCTCATGCAAACCTTCAAGTAAGGCCATTAAAAGTGAAAACACACCAGAACGGACCAGGCACAGTGGCTCGCACCTATAATTCCAGCACTTTGTGGGGGCTGAAGCGTGAGGATCACTTGAGGTCAGTAGTTCAAGACCAGGCTGGCCAACATGATGAAACCCTGATGCTACTAAAAATAAATAAATAAATACAAAAAGTTAACCAGGGGTGGTGGCGCACACCTGTAATCCCAGGTACTCTGGGGCTGAGACAGAAGAATCACTTGAACCTGGGAGGTGGAGGTTGTAGTGAGCCGAGATAGCAGCACTGCACTCCAGCCTGGATAACAGGGCAAGACCTCGTCTCCAACAACAACAACAACCCACGAACAAACAAACACCAGATCAAAATCTGGGCAATTTAAAATAGCAAAAGAAGCCTTTAAATTAAAAAATATATATTTTACTTGTTTAGAGACAGGGCCCCCAGGCTGGAGAGCAGTGGTGTGATCATGGCTCACTGTAGCCTTGAACTCCTGGGCTGAAGTGATCCTCCTGCCTCAGTCTCCCAAGCAGCTGGGATTATCTCTCAAAATGAGTTTTTACATGTTGCAACCAGCCAAGGTTACAAATCCTGGGCTATGGGAAATTAGTATCTAACAAGATTACTCTGTGAAAATATTTCTGTGAAAAATGAGTGATGCATTAGTACAACACTTTGTAGTAACTATGAAGGCTAACAGACCTAATGATTTTCTTTCCTGCTTGGGGTTTTTCTAGGTTCCCCCTGCTTCGGGTAAGGGGGCTCTTTCAGGGCTTGATGGCTTTGCTGTTGTCCTGTGCTTCTGCCCAGTGTCCCCACATAACGTTACACTTCGTGGCTGCATTTAGACTTTACTGTAAATGTGTGTTTCACTGTTCACACACTGCCCCCCATGTTATCTTCCCCACAGAGTGGGAGGAACCCAGTATTCCCAGCCCCTTGAAACAGTGCCTTGCACAGAACAGGCCCCACACAGATGAAGCTGTGTATTAGCAAAGATAGATATTCTTCCTGTTGTTAGTTATTAATATAAGAAATGGGTTGCGGGCCTGCTTGAATGAGTTTCATTTTTACACAATGTATCAATATAACTGTTCATAGTTTCTTTCACTTGTATCTTAACAAGTTCCGAAAGAGTATTATCTGTGTAGTCAAAAAAGAATAGTGAACACAAGGAGAGATGGCTAACCATAAACTAGGTACTTGATGACAATCTATAATAGCATCAGTTTGGAAACAAGTATCCTCCCTTTCCTTGAAACAAAGTCCTTGTCTCTGGAACACAAAACTGGGAAATGTATCAACTTTGGGGAACCGGAGAAACAGTGTATTTATCCTAATCGATTTCCTCCTCTCACGTTCAGGCGCCCAGAGTCTGCAGAGCCTCTCCAGGTGCCTCCGTTAAACCAGCTTTTGGGAAAATCTGTTAAGCCCATTCAGCTAAGCGGCGCCTGGTCACAGGGCTCTGCGCAGCCTTCCTCCTCGGCGACGCTGGGCAGGGAACCCCAGGACGGGGCTCCACAGTGGACTCTCCGGGGCAGGCGCCCCGGGCCACCCTACAAAGCCTCGCCCTCCAGACCGCAGTCCAGAGCCTCCGGCCTGCTCGGGGTCCGCGCTGCCTCCAGCGGACGGTACTGAGAAACCATGCGCTGGCGGGTCGGTGCAACGCGACCCTCAGGGCACCCCGGCGTGTGACCAAGCATAGAGCGTTTCTGTTTTGGTCCTCTCGTCTGCCCTGCTTCACCTGCGGGGTGCCCCGGCCCGCCCATTCCGAAGGGACTCGCCCAGTGACCGGAATCCACCGCGATTCCAGGCCGTGCCGGGACGGCGGCCAACGTCCCAAAGGCGATCTGGACCCCGCGCTAAGCCCGCCCCAGCCTCGATGGGACCCGCAAGGGGCTGCGGGGACTCGGCGGCGACGGCATCGTGGGCGGAGGTGGGAGGGTTCCGACGCCCGCCCCAAGTCAGGTCCTCGGCCCCAAACCCCCGCCTGGCTCCTAAGGACCTGGGTCTGCCGCCCTAGTCCCAAGGCCACTTACCTCCGCCTGGCCGCTGAGCCGCCGCGCGTTGCCGGGACAACGGCGCGCCAGGAACGCGGAAACAGCCGAAGGGGAGCGAGGCGGCGCCGACGACGCCCGAACCGCCCCAAGCGGCCGGAAAGAGCCGAAGGCGATCGGGCACGCACTTGCGGCTCTGACATCCGAGCGCCGGGGCCCGCGTTATTCTGCTCTACGGGAGGGAAGCGGGACGAGCTTTTTCTAGGAGAGGCAGCGGCGCGGGGCCGGCGACGGGTCCCCTTTGTATCGAGGGCGCGCTGTCACAGCCCCGATCCCGCGGGAGGCACTCCAGGTGGAGGAGGACCGCTGCATCCTTCTCTCCGGGGCGCGTTCCCCTCCCGCGCACCCCGAGGCGGGGCCTTTGCACCGCGGGGCGGTCTCAGCCCGGGCCTTCGCTGGCTCCGCGGCTCTAGTCTAGGCGTGGACGGCGTGGCTCGGGCGTTTCTGGAAAACGCGATGCGCTCGGCAGTGCCCTGAGCTGTTGGGTAACGGGGGGCGTCTGTCCACCTCCGGGGCCCGGACGCCAGAGAACGGAGGGAGGCAGGGAGCGCCCCCCGCCCCCAGAAAGCAGCTGGCGGCCGGGCGCGGGGTTCGCGCCTGTGGTTCCAGCGCTTGGGAAGCCGGGGCGGGCGGATCGCTGGAGCCCCGGAGTTCGACACCAGCCTGGGCAACGGGACGGGATCCTGTCTCTACAAAAACTAGCCGGGCGCGGTGGCGCCTGTAGTCTCGGCTACAGGAGGCTGAGGGAGGAGGATCGCCTGAGCCCCGGGAGGCGGACACTGCAGCGAGCCGGGCTCGCGCCAGTGCACTCCAGCCTGGGCGGCAGAGAAAAGGAAAGAAAGAGAGAAAGGCTATAACTTGAGCCAGGGGCGGTGGTTCACGCTTGTCCTCCCAGCAATTTGGGAGGATAAGGCGGGCGGATCACTTGAGGTCAGGAGTTCGAGACTGGCTTGGCCAACATGGTGAAAACCCGTCTGTACTACCAAAAAAATTAGCGGGCGTGGTGGCGCGCGCCTGTAATCCCAGCGACCCGGGAGGCTGAGGCGGGAGAATGGCTGGAACGCGGCAGGCGGAGACTGCAGGGAGCCCAGACCGCGCCGCTCAGCCACGCTAACGTAGCGCAGAAGCACACACCCCACCCAGGAAAGGGTGCGCGTATCTGCCTCACGCGCCCCGACACTTCTCCTCAGAACTCAGGTTCGCGCCCGAATCCCGACTCCGAGCCACCGCGGCGTTTTCTTCTCACGTATCCGTCAACACGGCCGCGGCCAATCACAGCCTGGGTGCTGGCCTATTGGCTGTCTGTCCACCAATCCAAAGAGACGCATGGTCCGCAAGGTCGCGGGGCTGGCGTCACAACACTACTCGCGCCGCGGGCTCGCCTCCGACGCTTTCCCCGGGCCTGTGCGTGCGAGCGCGCTCGCCTGACGCTAGCCAATGGGAGCGCCGTTTTGGGGAGTCGCGCCCGAAGAAACCTTGGGCGTGCTCGCCTCCGCGCTCGTCGCCCCGCCCCGCGCGCCCGCGCGCCCCGGCCCCGCCCCCGCGCGCCGTCCGTGCGGTCCCCACCGGCCGCCGTAGCCGGAACTACTGCTGAGCGCGGCGGGCCGGCTTTTCGAGGCTGAGCGGCGGCAGCGTCTGTGCCCGCAGCCCCCTCAGCCGCGCGCCGGCCCGCGGAGGGGACGTAACGGGTCGAGCGCCGGTCGGCCAGCTGCTTCCGAGGCGGACGAGCGGCCCGGCGTCGCTGCCTCACTGCAGCCGGCGCTCGGGTGCCGGGGCAGCCCGGCCCGGCTGGTTCTGCGGGCGCCCGGGGAGGCCCCGGGAAGCCAGGCTGCCGCCGGGCGTTGATGAAAAAGGTGACTGAGGCTGGGCGCTGGGGCTGTCATGGCGAGGCCCGCACCGGGGGTGCTGTCGGGCGGCGCGGGGGAGCGCGGCGGGGCGTCGCTGCCACCGCGCCCGGTGCAGCCCGAACTGGCCTCAGGGCGAGGAGGCTTCTCCCCCATCCCGAGAGGCCAGCCGGTGCGGAGCGGGTAGGGCCGGAGGAGACTGCGCCTCCGAGAACGGTCAAGTCCCGTTGGTGGTTCTCGCGAAAAGGGGGCCATCCCCGTGCTTGCTGGCCCTCAGGGAAGGGGTCCTTTCAGCGGCGAAAAGGGCGTCCCCGCGCTCGGACGGCGTCTTCGGTGCGGTGGCCAAACTCCCGGGCGGCCTGCGGGCGGACAGGCCCCTGGGCAGCGGGGTTCTCTGCTTTCTGGCCCGAGAGAAAGCTTGGGGGTTCGGGTGCGCGGAAAGCGGCGCATTGAGAGTGAAGAGGGAGACGTCCCCTGCCACGAAATCCCTGAAGTTGGGGGGTTGGTCGCGTGCGGTTTTTGTTCTTTGGCAGAGTTTTTAAAGTGATTCCCAAGATCAACTCCAACAGGAGAAAACGGCCACGGACCTTTGTGTGTGATCTCACCTCGGGGTGGGGGCACTATTGCGGCTTGTGACCCGTTTTCCGATCTCTGAGAAGGAGACGTCCTCGTCCGCGTCCGCGTCCCAGTGTGGGTGCCTCGGTCGAGTGTTCCCTTGCAGTAGAAACGTTCCCGTCCTCGACAGCTGTGTGCCACGCAGGCTCGGTGTCTGCGGAGGAATGGAGCGTTTTCGGCTTCCTCGCACGTGCCCGTCCCTGTTTCTGGGCTGAAGCTGTTGGTGTGTACCTGATTCCCTGAGCTTATTTTTGAGTGCTCTGCTTTCTGGGCTGCAGCATTTTTAGTCACTGCATTTTGTGGTTGACGTTTTTACAGGGCAGGGGGTAGCAAAGTTAATGCAAGAATTTCGTTAGTCGTTGCCAGGAGTTTTAACACCATCGTCTTGTACTGCGTCTTGCCCTTGGACCTGGACATACCCGGGCTGTCACTTTCCCGGGTGCTTCCAACCTGCCCCATGCAACAGGCTCCTTTGTTGCAAAAGCACTTTTAACTGGTAAATCCCCGCAGCAGCTCTCATCTCCCACCCTGGGAAGAAGATTCCCAGAGATCCAGAGCTGATTATTCTTTATGTCTGTTTTAAAATAAGCAGGCGTCCGGCGGCATTGGGCCACCATGGAGTTCCCCGTGCGGGCAGGGGAGCCCGCGCTTCTCCGGTCCCGGGGTGGATCTGGCCTCCTCCGCCCTCCTCCAGGGCCAACTCTGGGGGCTGGCGCGCCGGGCAGGTGCGCGGGACCCGGGAGCCCCGCGCGTTTCGGGGGGCGGGGAGGGGGTGGGACGAGGGGCGAGGGCTGGGGCTGCGGCCCGGCCGGCCGAGGCGGCGCAGGGAGCGAGGCCGGCACGCTGGGCCAGGCCATGAGCCGCGGCCCCGCCGGGTAGGTGGCAGCGGGCGGGGCGGCGGCCGGGAACCGCAGCCGTGCCCCGACCCGCGCCCGCGCCGGGCCTCCCATAGCCCCCGGGGCCGGGGCCCGGGCCCTGGCCGAGGCCGGGCAGGGTAGGGTAGGGTAGGGTCCGCCGAGCTTTCGCGTCCTCCCTCCGCCGGCTCGGGCGTCTGGACGCGGGTCTCGGCCAGGGGGCGTCCGGGGAGGCCCGGCAGGGTCCTGGGCCGGCGGGCAGGGCCGGGGGCGGCGGCGCGGGGGCGAAAGGGGCCGCGGCGGGCTCGGGCGGGCTCGGGCGGGCCGGGCCGAGCCGCCGAGAGGGGATTTGGAACAAACAACGGCGGCCATGTTGAGAGCGCGTCGGGGCCGCTAAACTTCCCGGCCTGCGCCCGCCTCACCGGCTGCCTCCCCTCTCCCGGCCGCAGGATGACAGTGAAGTTGGGCGACGGCGGCAGCGGGGAGGACGGGCTCAAGAAGCTGGGTAAGCGGGCGGCCGATGAGGAGTCCCTGGAAGGTGAAGGGGCCGGCGGCGCAGACGCGGCCGAGGAGAGCAGCGGCACAAAGAGGGACGAAAAGACCCCCCGGGCCGGCGCCGACGGCACCCCCGCGCCCCCCAACGCGCCGCAGGCGCCGTCTCCGCCGCAAGGCAGCCCCCAGGACCAGCACCACTTCCTCCGGTCCAGCGTGCGGCCGCAGAGCAAGAGGCCCAGGAAGGACCCTCCGAACGCCGTGGGGAGCGGCAACGCTGGTGGTCCGGGGCCCCGCGGAAAAGGTAGGGCGACCCGTCCTCCTGGGAGACCCCAGCCCCTCTCCAGGGTGTGTCCCGGGGGAGAGGAACCCCTTGTCCCAGCCGGGCTCCACCCCAGCTCACCCATCCCGCGGCCTGCACTGAGGCCCTCACTTGGGGTGGCACTTAGCTAGGATGTGTCCCCTCTCTCCTTCGAAGAGGCTGCCACTTTTCTATATTTAAACTCTTTGAAGAGGCAGCCAGTATCCTTTCTCTGGGAGAGTCAAAGAGATCCCCTAAAGCTGTTTTCTTCCCCAAAGGGTCATTGATGGTTTTCTGTTATAAACAGCGGACAATGGTTGAGAAAGGGGAAGAGAAGAAAATACCTGCTTGTATCTCTTTTGCAGACATCAGGTGGTGGAAATGCAACAAAGGCACAGCCTTTTGAAACTCATTGGGGGACGATGGATAAGAAACGGAGAAGGGATCCTTAGGGTCTGACTTGGACTCATTGTCCTCTCCTTCAAGTGCACCTGGCTTGAGTGTAGGAAGGGCATAGAAGTGGGGCCCTTTGAGTTGCAACTGAGGTTTACTTCTGTGCCAAAGAAAGGGAAGAGTGGCGAAAACGATTGTGTCCTGATGTGAGCAAGCAATAGCTTGGAGTGTTTGGCATTGTATTCCGAGGGGCTGGAGAATGTTGTTACTTAGCTGGGGCCTCCAAGATCATAAGAAAACTACGGGTTAGTTTTGTTTTCCATGTGCCAGTACTTCATTGTTGTATGCTTTTATTTGTATTTAAGCCTTGTGCTTTTCCTAAAACAGGTGAATGGCTCTTAGATTCTTTTTGTTTCTGACTGCCTTTGCAACACTTTGTATAAATAGCAAATATAACATCAATTTCCAGTGAGTTTCGCATGAAAAAAAAATCTTTCACTACCTTCCTTGGGAAATGTTCATTTAAATTTAGTAAATGGTCCTGGTAGTTTTAAAAAGGGAATATGTTACGAACTAATAGAGAATCTATTTTGGAGATCTGTGCCAAATGTGTCCCATTCAG